TATCCTGCGGGATGAAGTAGAGAAAGTTATCAAAACAAGTAAAAGACACAAAGCAGCTGGTATTGACGGAATAACAACAGAAGTCATCCAGGCTGGAGGGGACACTATGATCACCTGGCTGGAGAGAATTTTCAATAGAGCATGGGCAGAGAGAAAGGTACCAGTGGATTGGCAAAGATCAGTTGTAGTACCTATCTGGAAGAAAAAACAAACAAGAGAGAATGTGGAACTTATAGAGGAATATCTTTACTAAGTCATGTGGGGAAAATGTATGCAAAGATCTTAGAAGGTAGGATAAGAACAAAGGTTGAACCTCTACTGAGTAAAGCACAATTCGGTTTCAGGAAAGGGCGAGGTTGCACTGATGCCATATTTGCACTAAGACAAGTCTGTGAAAAGACACTCGAATACGATAAAGAGCTGAACGTGGTCTTTGTAGATCAAGAGAAGGCATTCGACCGTGTAGACAGAGATGTGCTGTGGAGAATTCTTGACGATTACGGAGTGCAGGGTCAATTATTAGACAACATCAGAGCCCTCTATGAAAAAAGTGAAAGTGCAGTAAGAACATCTAGTGGTCTTTCTGAATGGTTCAAAGTCACAACTGGTGTCAGACAAGGATGTGTACTGTCACCATTACTTTTCATAACATACATGGATAAGATCACTGTAGAAGCAAACCCAGACGTGTATGCTATAAACGAATTACTTTTTGCTGATGATCAAAGCATACTGTATCAAAATGAATATGATCTACAGGAACATCTGACTACTCTCAACAACAGCTGTTTACAACATAATATGAGAATCAGTACAGAAAAAACAGAAGTTATGAAGATCAGCAGAACACACAGGCCACTGAATATAAATGTTGGAAGTGCCAAAATCAAGCAAACCAAAGAGTTCAAATACTTGGGCAGTATATTTACAGAGGATGGAAGAATGGACAGAGAGATAGAAACAAGAATACAGAAAGCAAATGCTGTCACATACCAACTATCACCTCTGCTTAAACATCCAGATATAACCATGAAGACCAAAAGACAATTGATAAACACCATCTTCATTCCAACACTCTGCTACCAGTGCCAAACATGGACAATCAACAAGACCCATGAAAGAAAAATAGAAGCCTGTGAAATGAAATGTCTAAGAAAAGCAGCGAATAAGACCAGACTAGACAGGATAAAGAATATAGACATTAGAAACACTGTCAAAACTACGCCATGTTTAGACTACATAGAACATCAAAGAATGAAATGGTTTGGACATCTAACCAGGATGAAAAATGATCAAATAACATCACAAATTTTCAACCAAAGAAGCTCAGGATATAAGGCAAGAGGAAGACCAAGGAAACGGTGGATTGACGGGGTCTCCGAAACCTGCCGAAAGCATGGCCTCAGAACATCAGATGCTGCCCGCCTTGCTTATGACAGGAACTTGCATCTCCCCACAACGCTTAGCGGCATACGTGGAAGGAAAAAGTAAAGTAAGTAATGACAAGGTTCTGTTCCCTGCAGAATCTGAGAAGTCGCTTACCATTATCATTCAAAACATCTTCACCATATCTCCCGATCACTCCACCCCATCTAGAGTGATCATTTCCTACTCTGGCATTTAGATCTCCTAGGAGGATAATTTCATCGTGACAGTCATCTATGGTTCTTTGGAGCAGTTCAAAGAATTCTTCTTTAACATCTACTCGCTCATCTTCATTTGGCCCGTACATAATGACAAAATTGACAATTTTATCTTCTTCTTTCAGATCTAACACCATTATTCTCTCTGAGATGAATTTCCATCCCTTGATGTTACTAACTTGATTCCTAGCCACAATACAGCCAACACCTCCCTTGGCTGTCCCCGTCATAGGGACACCACTGTAGAGCAGCATACTTCCATCGTGATCTTTGATTCCTTGCCCCTTTTTCTTGGTTTTAGTCAGAGCCAAGACTCCTAATTTTGCTTTCCTCATCTCCCCTACTAACTCGTTTTCCTTTCCGTTAATGCCTCTTATATTCCATGTTCCATAAATCGTAGTCCGTAAGCCATGCCAGTTCGTCGCCGTTAAGATCCGTCCGGTTTTCTCTCTGTAGTTACTTGTAATCGTGGTTTAAGGCAAACAGGTGATTGGCCTGTTGTGCCTTTGCATGGTGGAGGGGCTACCTCCTTGCGGCCTCCATGCAGGCCGTCTGGCTGATTCACGGTTACACACTACTTCCGGGGACGCATGAAGCACTCAGGTTCAGCCAGACCCTCCTCCTTTTACAGCCGGGCTTGGGACCGGTCTTAGCGGAGTTCTTCTTCTTCTTCTTCACCGGCTGTAAACTCCAGCGGAAAATTCTGGTTGCTCGTCCACTTCTGGACTTTTAGTCTTTTTCCAGAACCTGAGTGTTGCGTATGCATCCGTTTTACAGACATGACTCATTTGTATGCAGCTGTTGGTTTCTTGCCTCTCAGGCGGGTGCACTCAGATTTCGAAGAAAGCTCTCAATTAGTCGACTCTTACCTCATGCTTTTGGGTAGGCGGTGGGTCTGTTCTTGTTTTCTCTACAATAGGGCACCGGAACCCACACGGGGACAATAGTTAATTATTTTTGAGTGGAATTACATACAATGTGGTGGTGGTGGTTGGGGGAAGCTCGTGAAAAACAATAACTGTGCTTTTAATGGATCCCACAAAGGACCTGCAAGTTGCGATATTTGATACAGAGTTCCATGACCTTCAGACATTGCAATTGTGGAAAGCAGTAGTTGTGGGCAAAAATTAATCCGCACAAAATGTTGGAGGTTTTGTATGTTGGTTTCAGCCTACCACACCACAAGCTCAGCCCGCCCACACCCACAGGCCTTTTTAGAGCAGCGGTTCTAAAACTATGGGTCGAACGACCCTTTCACAGAGTTCGTGAAAACAAGTATTCATTAAAGTTAAGAAGTAGCGACGAAAATAATTGTATGGTTGGGAGTCGCCACAACATGAGGATCACTATTAAAGGGTCGCCACAACACGAGGATCTGTATTAAAGGGTCGTGGCGTTAGAAAGGTTGAGAACCATTGCTGTAGAAGAATGAAGCTTTTAGTGGGGCAAGAAACGTCTAGCATAACACATATACCGGGAGGATACAAAAACGGGATCGGAAAAATAAGCAATGGATACGTGACTCTTGTCTCCCTGGGGACGGTATCTATTTCACGAAACAAAATAAACTAGGGACACATAGGATTTCTGTGGTAAATTATATAAAGACGCTTTTTCTTTAAAGGTCGCGTTCTAGAGAGTGAAAAATACTTGATATAGAAAACAGAATGAGGCGCCTAACATTTTGTGAATGTTTTAGGAAGATGAAAAGAGAACTAAGTAAGGAAAAAAAATAACAGCGAACATATGAAATAGGTTGGATGAAAATGTAAATATTCACACTGCCAGCATTTCACTTACTATGCAAGAAAAATGTTTCAGAAACGAGATTGTAATGTCGGCATAAACAGGAGTACTATAGACTCGTCTATGAATTACTGGTCTTCAATAGAGAGTGTGTATTGTTACTGTTGACAACATTACAGTCTGATCACTCAGACAATCAGTCTTGCAGTACTGTGCATTGAGGATCAGCCGTAACAAATGTCCAGTTCGTGTGTTCTGTATCTTCATGGTACTGTCCGTTGCATTCAACTAATCTCGTGATGTTGTCCTCCCACATGTACTATTGCTTTGGCACACATTCCTCAATTTCACCGGGAACCGTGTTTTGTCTTACAACTTAATTTTACCTGACACTGTTGGGATAATGCAAGTAAAATCCAGAAACACAAAAAGTATATGAAAGGATTTCCTATGTCACTTCCGCCCAGAGTACTTGTGTTGTCTGACCTTGATCTCATTTAAAGACTTTTCTCAGTTCTGTTGTCTGTACGACTTCATTGTTTTCTTGTCTCGCCGTTAAAACCCCCTCCTTTTTTTAGATAAAGCTTTAATTTTGAAAACGTCAATGTACTTTCACATAAACGTATAATCTTTTTTACAGTGTCTGTGTTTTGAGTTTCATTATATTCCATTGTGATGTTCACAAAGCTCTCTTTGAATGGTTCTCCCCCCCCCCCCCCCCCCTGGTCTTCCAATGTTTGTATGTTGACAAGAGAGCTATTCGCTGGCCTGCCCCTTGGAAGTCTTGGGTTCCAATCCGCTTCTGGAAATATTGTTATAGTTGACCTGACTTTCTTGGTCGACCCAGCCAAACAGTAATCACTAGAATATGTCCTGGGAAGTAGTGGCGGCCTTTAGGATGTTTGTTGACCACGGGAACCGATTAGTCTCTAAAACTCTGTGTCTACAGGCTGAACCAAATGCCCGATTCGCCAGTAACATGGACACGGTCCTTTACTTCACTGTATTTTCACAAAGAATTATTTGTTACAATTCGTGCTTATTCGCTATTTTTCTACAGATTGGTAAACTTGTTAAATTGACTGTGAGATTAATTAACGTTGTTATACCAGCCATTAGATTAATTTTGTGTTTTATTGGCTGTATACTTGATTAACGTTTTTATATTGGCTATGGGATTTAATAATGTTTTTATATTAACTGTGGGATTGATATAACGTTATTGTGGCTGTGAGATTGATATAATGTTATTCCATTAGCTGTGGGAGTAAGCAAACGAGAAAAAGGTCAGAAATAAAGTCTGCACCGGGGGAGGGGGTGGGAGAAAGGGCGATCAGCATACAACCACAATACTGAAAAAACAAACTGGAAAGATAACAGAGAAGCTCTACAGCAATATGACATGGCTGTTTAATCTAGGCGGGCAAAAGCGCAAAAGCAAGAATATTTTGAGCTGAACTGTTGCTTGTTCCCTTAACACACCAAGCGATGCAGGAGGTAATGAAGAAGAACGTTGTTATATTTACTTAGATTAGCCTCCATCGTATTCACTGTTCCTACAGTTGATATATTTCTTTGATTAACATTGTTATGTTACCTGACACTCATCAGATACAGCCTAGTGGACAGCCTGAGCAGCCACTTCACAATATTACCCAACAGTGGCCGCATTCTGACCACCACATCCTTGGACCGGGAACTGGAACCTCAATACATCCTGACCGTGGTCGCCACAGATCAGGGCATCCCTCCCAGATCATCATCTGTTCAAGTAAACGTGATTGTAGACGACGACAACGACCATGCGCCGGAGTTTGGGGCAACTAGTTACACAGTCACCATGTATGACTCTTCAAGTATAGGTCAGTAGAACTTGTGTTGTGTTTGGTAGTTGCTGCCTGCAAACAGGAGATCCTTCTCTCTGTGTGTGTGTGTGTGTGTGTGTTTTTTTTTTTTTTGGTACTGTCTTTATTGCAATACTTAGGCAATGTTACAAACAACATCAATGATATACTGAAAGGCGCTGTGTTCTCCCTATGACTACATACTCTTAAGGTCGCGTTGTGTTCTTCATCTCTAGTTACTTTGTTAGCTGGTTCTAGTGTCTGGAACTGCCATCTGGCTTCTAGTGTGGTCTGGTACTAAAGGCTTGATCGTCGACTCTAGCATCTGAATAGTGTTTCTGTCTAATGTGTCTCTGTTGACCATAAATCCATGTATCTTGTATGTTGTCTCTGTAGCTCGAAGGCTTGTTTCATGTCTCCTCTCTAGTGACTGTCTTCGAGGCTTCATGTTACTTGCTTTTCTGCTTCTAAGTCGTGATGACAGAAGGCTCTTTGAGGGTAAATATTACTAGTCCCTCCTCTTCTAAGTCTGATTGACCGAAAGCTTACCCTAGTGGTTTCTCACTCATTATTTATACTTAGATGCTGGGATGCTAGGTATTTGTTTTCTTCTCTTCTAGAGATGTCTAGTACGTCTCAGCATGTTTACTATGTGCGTTCCCATGTGGGATTTTCTAATTATATCTCAATTGCATCAGATTTCATCATCTTTTTCTGTGCCTAAATATAGTAATTAAATTGACAGCTGATGTCATAGAGACTTCAAGAAAGCCAGTACTATGTTCTCTTTGAAATGGCAGGTCAACAAATACGCAAGATACTATTCATTTGCAAAATATATATATCTGTTAATAACAAACAAAGGTTCTAGAAAAAGGGAGTGTTAAGGCTACCAAAACTTGTTGATCCTGGTACATCTTAGCTTTGCACAATACTCTACTTCCTAACAAACAAGTGATGACGTCTTCCTGTTACACCACCCTATGCTATCAGTGCCAGACGTGGTCACTCACAACAAAACATGAAAGAAAATTAATAACCATAGAAATGAGGTGTCTGAGAAATATTGCAGGAGTGACCAGAAGAGATCAAATCAGGAATGAGGTCATATGAGATAAAGTCGGTACAGAACCAACTCTAAATTACATACAAAGACAGCAAATTAAATGGTTTGCACACTTGGAGAGAATGCTTTCTGACGCTATACCATACAAGGCGTATACCAAACGAGGGATGTAAAGCAAGAGATAGACCTAGAACAAGATGTGAAGATAACATCAGAGAAACTCTACAGTACCACGATGTGTCTATGGTCGAAGCAACCAGAAGAGCTGAAAACATGGCCTTATATTTCCTTTGATACCTGAAATGTTAAAAGAGCACATAAAGAAGAAGAATGCCTGAAATGTTTTGATGGAATTTTTATTGGATCATTTTTTTTTTTCAGTTCAGTTAAAGAGCATATTATTTTATTTATTTCTGGGTGACAGTGTATCTGAATTTTAAACAATTGTTAAGCGAACCCTTTCACACTCATAACCTAGAAAAAATGGGCTAGGGGTTGAAGTGAGGGGGGAAGGAGGGGTTAAACTAACTTGCTTACTTGTTCCATTTTCAGGTCAAAATATTAGTAGAATGTCTTGTTTTCAGTTCAAGATTTTGTGGTCACCCCACGTATGTTGTAGGAATTCATAGTTTTTAACATCAGTTGTCACATTCTATTCTTTACAGGAGACTTTGTGATAGGGGTCACAGCTGTGGACCTGGATATTGGAAACAATGGCAAAGTTGCTTATTCCCTGGAAGGTCCTGACAAATCCTACTTCAACATCAGTACTGACATGGGTGTGGTGACCAGTGCCAAGCCACTTGGACAGGACAAGAGGAAACTGAACTTTGTGGTGCGGGCGTCAGATCTGGTGAGGTTAATAGCTTAATTTGATGTTTCAACAAATTATTAATTTTTGACACATAATATATATACCAGTAAGCAAATCAGAATTGAAATTCTGGGAGCATGCATCTTCCCTGTAGCAACAAACCAGTGTGAGTGGTGGACTATCATGCAGTCCTTAAGAAAGAAAACACAGGCTTTTGGCTGAAATGCTATAGAAAGATTCTCAGAATATTATGGATAAAGAAGAGGAGAAAATACTGACATTTTAAAAGATCTGAACATCAAGGAAGATTGGTTAATAAACAGCATCTTGTCTCGGAAGCTGAAATATTTTGGTCGTATCAAGCAGCATGGCGGATAGGAAAAAATGTATAGCAGAAAACATGGTGCCAGGAAGGAAGGGCAGGGGCCCACCGACACGAAGATGGGCACAGGATATATTTGACTTCTTGAGAATGAAAATACACAAGGCATGAGAGATGGAGAGAGATCGAGTTTTTGTCAAGCAGATCATATGAAGAGTGATATTCCACAAGGGACCTGCTACATGATGATGAACATATATGAATGTTAACATCCCTTAAAGTATTGCTGTTCAACTTATGTTGTCAGGTCAGAATTCAGCCCACAGAGGACTAGCAAGTGGCTCATGAATCATTGTGTTGTAGTGTATAAATATCTTTCTATTCTGGGGCTTGTACCTCTGGCCTCACAGAGGACTAGCAAGTGGCTCATGAATCGTTGCGTTGTAGTGTATAAATATCTTTCTTTGCTGCAGCTCGGACCACTGGCCTGTGAGGATCTCTTTTTAAACAGTTTGACCCCTGATTAAACTTAGTAGAAAATCCCTGCCTCAAAATAACAAGTTGTTACTATGCTTTCACTTTGTCATTTATATGTATCTTGTTTTGATTGTTATCTGTGGTTTATTTTTTTCTGTGTATTTTATTTACCCTTTCAACATGCAGGCTAAGTTTCTACAGAATAATTCCACAAATGTATGTCTGTTTCTTCTTATTCTGCTGCCCTTTATCCCTCACTGGAACATATGCCCACAACCAACTCACACCAGTACTTTGCCCTGTCACTCATGTCCTCGCTGTTTTATAAATCCTTATCTCTAATTCTGAACGGGACTGAACCCTGTTTTTAAAAAATGATTTTGGCTCCCAGGTTAACCCAATCTTGTAAAGTCCTGGGTGAAAAAAGTTCGACGTCATGATGCTGACTATACCCCCCTCTCCCTTTTCAGGTGTCATTATTCTATAAAATATAGGGCTAGCCCTATATACCCAATATGCCTGGTGTCTTGGGAAACGATTTTTTTTTTTTAAATTGATCTCTAAGTCTGTTCTATCTTAACAGTTAAAAGCGAATAACGAATAGACACATCATCAAGGTCGTCAGTTTCCACTTCTGCCATTAAGCGTTGTGGGGAGGGACAGTTTGTGATCCATTGCTTGATGGGCAACATTGTTTATTGTCATTCTGTGTCAGTGTAGAAGCTCTTCTCCTAGGGCTCCCTTCTGCTTTCACTTTAGATCTTTTCATATGTAATGCCTTCGTTGGTAGTTGTTCAGGTCGCATTCTTTCTAGGTGACCAAACAATTTGATCTTCTGTTTCTCAATTAATTTACTGCTTGGTGTTGTTCCTAGAGTCTGTCTGATAATATCGTTTCTAACTTTATCTCAGATGATTAATTTAGTGCCTTTTCTTAGGCAACTTATTTCACAGGTGTTAATTTTACTTAGGTTATCCTTTTATAATGTCCAAATAAGTCACACATCCCTGCCTCCTCCCTGTATCGATTGTAAACATATCAGATATGCCTTCTTGTGTTCTAACTGCACTTTGGGAAGTTATTCAGTGCAAATAAGTATTTTTTCAGTAAAAAGACAGAAAAGGCAATAGTACGGACACATAATAAGATCTAACAGCCTCTTAAAAATGATACTACAGGGGCTAAGTAGAAGAGAAGATGCAGATCAAGAAAGACCTGAAAACTGACTGGACAGGCCTTAGTGCATGCAACCATGAAGTCCATCGCATTTGACCATCAAAGGGAAAGGGAGCCTGATCAGACAGTCAACAGCTGCTGGTGACCCAATGACACGCAGTGTTATGGGTTGATGACACCATAGACATCAGACACGCAATATTCTTTATGGGTAGACGAGTCCCATATTCATGGAAGGGTTTTGAGTTAAACAAGATTGTATGTAATGCTTATTTTATTTTTGTTTATAATCATTACTTAACAAGAATAATTTATTTCAACCAGGGCAAAGTCCCTCTAAACAGCACAGCATCAGTTGTAGTGAATTTCTCCATCACATCCTCCACAAGCCGACCAAAATTCAATGACTTTGATGAGAACATCAAGATAAAGGAAAATACAAAGATCGGTCAACTTGTGACAACTGTTCAAGCCAGCAGTAGTGCCAGTTCACGAGTCACTTACCACATCGCTGGGGGCAACGTCAACAACGCATTTACCGTCAGCTCTGACACCGGCGCCATTACTGTTACTGGCAGGATTGACTATGAAGTGACCAACTTGTAAGTGTCTGTCTGTGGTCATTCTTTATGAATATTTGAATTCAGGTTGTTCAGTTAGTCTTCTTTTTCATCTTCTGCAGTGACCTTTGAAAAGAACGGTAGGCGCAATGTTTTGTGGTTTGCAGCTAATTTCGACCCAACAAATTTGATTTTGACAAACTGCTAGATAGTTGTCGTTAACAACATGCTTTTTAGGAGACAGGATGTCGTTTCTTCTCCCCTTCCTCCCCCCCCCCCCTTTCCCCCAAAATGGGCTGCAGAACCCACATAGGGACAGTTAGGCTTTTAGATTAAATTGAGACTGTTCAGATAAGTTTCTACTGTATCTTACTGAAATAAAAGTAAAGTAAAGGACCCTCTTTCACGCCTTTAGGCATAAAGGGCTAGACCTATATTTTTAAAGACCAATCGGCACAAAATGGGTGATGTGGTCAGCATCACGCCGGGAACCTTTACTTCCCGGGGCTGTACCCGGTACCCACTCAAGGCTGGGTCGACCTGGGAGCCAAGGTCCTTTTTTTGAAAAAGTCCGGCTTCGCCAGGGAGCGAACCGATGAACTTTCAATCGGCATCTAGCAGCTCTGCCACTCTAACTGAAATAGTCATATATAAATTAATCTTATAGACCTAATTTAGAATAATGAATTAGTTGGATAGACTGAATTTAGACTTTATTGACCTAATTCAGGCTTTTAAATTCATCTTATTGGCCTAAGTTCTAGTTAGTAAGAAGTAGTGAAATGCAAAAGAGCAATGGCATGTGTAGAAAAATACTTGTTTTAAGCCTTCCATTGTGTAAGTTCAGTCCCAGTGAAAGTTGTCCTCTCATGTGGACCAGGAAGTTAGCATGATGTCGTTTTATGTAACATCAGTAGGGAGTATATCTTCATTTGTGCCTAGCACTGATGTTAGCGTAGTATTTTGGGTCTGATAACTGATGAAGCTCTGAGAGATTGTTTTGGAATTGTTTCAGCATTTTAACACATTCTTGTTTACAGCACAAGCTTGTTTTACTTTCCAATAAAGAAAATAACTATTTTCTTTAAAGCCAGTCTATTTGTACATAAATCTCTTGTTTGAAAAAAGAATAATGTTTTTCTGATATGTTTTAAACATAAACTAATGTTGCAAATATGTCACAGATGCAGTTTACCTCCCATATTTGTATTCATGTCGAATTTTTATTATAAAGCAGCTGTTTATTACTGTTTAAGTGTTTAACTTTTTGTGTGCTCTTTCTCCCTCTCTTTCTGTGTAAATGTAGAATTTTGAAATATTTATGGCCAGCTCTTTCATTATCGTGGAGTTTAACACCAGATGAAAGGGAGGTAATTACATTTGAAATTTCAAAATTGCGATCAGTAAAACAAACCAGACAACTACTACATCTGTGTAGCAAACACATATTGCTTATCAACATCAACAAGAAACAAAGGATGTAGATTTTTAATGGCGTATTACTGTAAAAAAAAAAATAATAATTGTTTTCGCTTTTAAAAATTAACAAATAAAAGGATAACTTGTTTAGAGAGTGAGTAAAGTTACTTAATTCTTTTCCTGTCTTAATTGCATGATACAAAATCAATCTGGTGATCTCCATGTGAGATGCAATTTTTCGTTAGTTGAAGCCCTACTCTGGCTCTTGCCAGGGGCCGCAATAATAGCCCGACCATAAATATTGTCTAATGGCTGAACGCGGTTTGTGGGGCCTCTCCATGCGTGATCCTCATCCACATGGTGGCACTTTGTGTCATCGGGTGTTTCTTGCTTGTGTGATGTCCTGGTGGGGTACAACTTACCATAAACATGTCACAAATGTCAGGCAGGTGAAGCTGTTAGGGGTAAGCTTTATGTATGACTCCTTCTACAATCCGTTCTAATATTGGACGCCATGTTTTGTTGTTTTAAAGCCCCACTCTGATTGTTGTCAGGGGCCTTAATATAACCCAAACTATGGGTTGAACAAGGTTTTTGGGACCTGTTCCCTGGCAATCCTCATCCGAATGGTGGCACTCTGGCTCAGCTTGATGTCCTGGTGAGGTTGACCGTCAATCAATCTTTCTTAATTATAACCTCTTCAGAGGTTGAGGAGTTTTCCCTGTTCATATTGGATAAAATTGTGTTGTCTCAGGGGTGGCCAGAGTTGTCTCAGGGGTGGCCAGAGTTGTCTCAGGGGTAGCCAGAGTTGTTGTCTGTCTCAGGGGTGGCCAGAGTTGTCTCAGGGGTGGCCAGAGTTGTCTCAGGGGTGGCCAGAGTTGTCTCAGGGGTAGCCAGAGTTGTCTCAGGGGTAGCCAGAGTTGTCTGTCTCAGGGGTGGCCAGAGTGGTCCCATGGGTGGCCAGAGTTGTCCCAGGGGTGGTCAGAGTTGTCTCAGGGGTGGCCAGAGTTGTCTCATTGGTGGCCAGAGTTGTCTCAGGAGTGGTCAGAGTTGTCTCAGGGGTGGCCAGACTTTGTATCAACCCAGGTAGGTATAAACAGACTTTAAAAATCTACACACACAAATTTTTCTAAGAATAAAAAAATATAAGGTATAAATTCCCTGTGTTCTGGGGTTCCATTGACAAGAATAGACCCACTATCTCTCCAACAAGCATGTCATAGGAGTGGACTAATTGGTTGTTTCCTTTGAAGTCAAAGTACATCTGCCAGAGAGGCAAGGAACCAACAGTCTGCATACAGATAAGGTCAGATCTGTAAAACAGATGTGCATTCAAGACTCATGTTTTCTGGAATAAGATTAAAGTATGGAGATGGAGGAACAAGCAGACCCCACAGCTGGAGTTCACAGCCAGTGAAGGCAAAGAAGAAGGTATGAATGGTGCACACAGAGCAGGAAAGAAATCTCTCAGTTAGTTTTTATTCCAGAACACTCTTATATAGCATCTTTATTTGGCACAACAAGTATTTTTGTGAAACAATACATTTCTGCACACAAGAAACTCTTTGTATGCAATGCCGTGTCCATAATTTTTCAATTACATTGTTAAGTGATGGGGAGAAAAGCACTAGAACTAGCTAATGTGTTAGCAAACATTGCTTTATTTTTAGCTCCTTTCCTTATGTCAGCGTCTGTTGTATGGTTTGTACAATAACAAGGACAGGTCTGGGTCCTCATTAGGGTTTGACTTCAGTATGTTGAGGAAATTCTGCTGGATTACTTTTATCATCCAACTCCACACCACTCTGACTAATCCAGTGTCTAACTGAATTTGCGGCAACAGTAAATTGGTTTGGAAGGTGTAAAAAATGTCTCATTGGCCAGATAAAAAAAAAAATATGTAGCAACTCAATAAAATACAAAAAAGTATTGTAAGTCTTTAAAAACTCAAGAGCAGACAAACTCTCTCCAACTGTGTTCAGGTTGTCAGCTATATTTTTTAATTTGCCAGGTGTACTTTTAGTAAAAGAAATTTGTTAGGCACAGATTGTTACTCTAGCACAGTAGTTCCAATTTGGCTGACCATCAAAGGTCCATGGAACAAATGTAATGAGTCCATGTTATAATTTAAAAAAAAAAAAAATGGTCCCTCTTTGTTGTTGTTGGTATGAATCTAATATAAATATACTCTTTTTTTATTTTGTGTGACTATTAAAAAGTAAGGGATCTGCAGCGTGGCTTTAAAAATAAAAGGGGTGTACAGGTCTTATAAAACTGGGGACCACTATTCTAGCATATTTATAGATAACAGTAGAAGGCACTGAAAGGTGAACTCTTTTTTTTTTTTCCTCTTGTTAATTTTTGGTAAAGCCATTCTACAGATTGGGAGCCATGGTTTTTATAGTGGCTACATGCTCAGCTGCTGGCTTGAAGGTGTAGGGTTCAAAACTACATTAGGTCTTTTTTTTTAAAAACTGATCTTGGCTATCAATTGACCCAGCCTAAAATGGATATGAGTTAATCTCCTGGGTAATAAAGGCCCGTTGCATGATGTTCACCACATGACCCTTTGTGTACCGATTGATGAATTTTCTCAAACAGAGATCTAGCACGAAATGTCTGATTCACCCAAGGGTGATTGGGTATACTACTGTTTTCTAATGAGAAGTAGGAAACCATAGTACTTCAGTGACTAACATGCTTGCCGATGGCATGTGTTCAAACCTCCTTCAAGGTGGCATTTTTTAAAAACTGACATCAGCTCCCAGGTTGACTCAGCCAAAAGTGGGTGCCATGAAATATTGAAGAAAATACAGCCTGCTGAGATGTTGATAACGTCATCCATGGAGTGCTGCCAACCGTCTTATATGAAAATGTGACTAGCATCATATACTGAATATACATGAAGATATAGAAGAGTGTTTTTTACTCATTATTAGTAGTCTGTAATTGCTAGTCAAGGTTCTGACTTCATCTGTTGGTTGCCACAAAATGGTTTTATTCCTGTGTCAGTGGAATATTAATAAACAAACAATGTATTGATAGGCACTTATAGAAAGAAATAGAAAGCTAGAAGAACACACTAAACAACATTTAAAAAAATTGATAGTTACTGTGCCAGGAATTGAACCTGTCACCTCCAAATGGCATGTGCACCTCACTGTGGAAACAGTTGTACGAAGAACAGGGTCAACTAGGTAGTCCCCCCCAAAAGTGTCTTCATTGGCCATGTCTATCTTACAGCTTGAAATCCACACGTAGGGAAGTGTCAATTCATGCACTTAGCTCAGAAGTCTAACTGTCCAGTGGGAAACAGTAATTCAATGTTACATTTGATCTAGGTTCAACTTGTGGTTGGAGGCGAGAGACCAAAGTTCCACTCAGCTGTCCACTTTTCAGAAGCTGACTGTTGTTGTTGAAGATGAGAATGACAACGCACCAATGTTTTCCAAATCTCTTTTTACAGCACAAATAGATGAGAATTGCGTAGTTGGAACAAAAGTAATGCAGGTAACTTGACTTCATGTATGCTTCCCAAACGGTTTTAAAAAAAATGTTATATAGAAGTCTTAATATTAATATGCTGTTGTAGAATCACCCAAAATTCTGTCTTTCATCATCATCATCATAATCCTCATCATCATCATCTTCTTCTTCTTCTTCTTCTTCTTCTTTTTCTTCTTGTTCTTGTTCTTCTTCTTCTTCTTCTTCTTCTTCTTCTTCTTCTTCTTCTTCTTCTTCTTCTTCTTCTTCTTCTTCTTCTTCTTCCTCCTCCTCCTCCTACTCTTGCTGCTACTGCTAATGTTGTTGTTCTTGTTCCTGTTGCGTTCATCTGAGTATGTAATTGCATTGTGCACCTTTGTAGCATGGCTGAGATAATTGTGCTTTTGGCATACACACCCAACTTCTCGAGGCATTTGTTGCCCAGGTTAGCTCTTCAGGCTGTCTCACATACCTTTTAATGTTGCCCACATTGATTTAAAACTTTGTACGCACTGTTATTTTATTTGTGTTATTGATTTATATTCACAAAATAATTCATTGCATTCAGGATGTGCACATAGATGCTTATATCTCTTTGAAGTTAACAAATCTCTCAGCCATGTTACTCCAGATGGTTTGCTGAAATCTGCATTTTTAAGTTAAATTTTTAATCCTACAAGAAAGTAAGGAGTCCTGTCTTATTTCCCAAGACATCAAGGTGTTTAAATCTTCAGCCATGTGCCTGAAATTCGCCAGGAACTGTTTGGATCTAAGATGGACAAACAAACCTCTCAGTTATATTACTCTAAGAATATCTGTGCTGTTTTGAAGAGGCACTGAATACGCATCTGTAAACATTCGCAGTCTATTTCTATTTCTTTTGCCACCATCATACTTAACCTCCCCGTATTCTAAACAATTTCATCAGCTTTCCCTCCCTCATTTTTTCTGTGTTTATAATATTCAATTTTTCTCTTCTCTCTACATGGCCAAAATTGTGAGCTTTTTTTTTTTCTGATGTCAATTCCCTGAAATAGTAGTAGATGTGTTATTAACTTATAATTATGACTTTACTCTGCTGTTGTAGGTGATGGCCTCTGATGTCGACTCGGGAAGTAACCAGCAACTAGTTTATACTATTAAGAGTGGTAACGAAAACAACACATTTGCTGTGAACAGTAGCACAGGCTTGGTGACCACCATCAACCCATCGGTGGACAGGGAGAAAATTGCATTCTACAACCTGGAGATTGAAGCATCTGACATGGTAAGTTAGCATTGTCTATATCAAGTAGTGGATAAAGGAAAAATTGCTTTCGACAATTGAAGCTTCAGATATGGTAAGTTAACACGGTCTAAACCAAATATAGAGAGAGTAAAAATTGCATTGTTTAATTTGGAGCTTGAGGCATCTGATATGGTAAGTTAGTATGATCTAGTTAAAGCAACAGACAAAGGAACAATTGAATTTTTCAATTGCAAGGTTGAGGCTTCAGTAAATTAACACTGTATGATAAATCTATTAATGGAGAGAGAAAACTCCAAATAGTGAGAAATGGAAAATTGCATTCTATAATCTGGAGACTGAGGCATCATCTTTGGTATGTCAGCTTTGTCTGAATCAAGTACTGGACAATGACAAAATTGAATTTAACAATTTGGAGATTGAGGTTTCAGATCTGTTCAATCAGCAATGTTTAATCTCAAGTTATCAAAAGAGAAAATAGCAATTTATATTCTAGAGATTGAGGTTTTTGACATTGTAAATTAATAATGTCTAATTCAGGTATATCAGATATGAGAGTAAAGAAGAATTAACAACCAAAAATGCTTAGACATGCAGTAGAAATTCTTTTAATTGAAAAAGATACATTATTTTACTTGATTCATTCTTTAAACATCAACTTGAAAATTTATAAAGAAAGTATTGGCAATTTAGTGGCAGCAGCAGCACAATGGTTTATAGTGTAATAAGAAGAATCCTTCCTCTGGAGTCCACAGGGAAGAACTAGAGAAAGGTCTGTTCATATTTAAAGAAAATAATTTCTGCAATGAATAAAATGGAGATGAATGTGGAACAGGCGGCCTCAGAGGATAAGATGGCATGGTGTGAAGACAGAAGGCAGAAGAAGAAAAATTTTGAAATAAACCCATATGTACCACAACAGCAGGAACAACATTGCCACAATATTGCACCATTCATATCTAAAAGGCAGTCAAGAAAATAAGAAAATAGACAATTGTGTAAACATATCTGTCACTGTTAGTTTTTATTTGTAACTTCAACTGGATTTTTATAAATTTGATTGCAGGGTACTCCAAGGCAGTCAGCTACTACCACTCTCCGCATCACCATCAGAGACTTGAATGACAACCAGCCAACATTTACAGGTTCACGTAGTGTTGCTGTACCTGAGGATCTTCCCATTGGCTCTTTGATCATGCAGCTAACTACAAATGACCTTGACATTGGGGATAATGCTAAAGCCAACTTCAGTTTTGAGCACATAAATGATGCCTTTTTTCCATTTGCAATCAACTCCAGCACTGGAAGCATCACAAACATTCAGCACCTAGATGCAGAAGTTGTTTTGAGGTATTCTGTAACTGTCACTGTTACAGATGGATCCTTCATTCAGAGAACACCCCTGGTAATCCGAGTTCTGGATGTAAATGACAATCCACCAAAGTTCCAAAATTCGATCTTAGTATTCAACTTCACAGAACTGCAACCACCAAACACAAAAGTTGCACAGCTTTCTGCTGTAGATCAAGACAGGTCCATTCCAAATAGCAAGTTTTTCTTTTCCTTGAAACGGCCATCGTCAATGTTTGAGCTTACTCCTGAAACAGGAGAGATAACCGCTCTGGAAACTATGCATTTTTTTGGCGGTGAGCCATTTGTTGCCAGTATGAATGAGCACATTGTGGATGTCCTTGTGACAGATTTAGGTATACCATCATTATCATCGGTAGCTTCAGTTGTTGTTAGAATCATCGATGCAAATGACCACGCCCCAGTCTTTGAACAAGATTTTTATTTCTCAGCTGTCCCCAAAACTCTACAGCCATCTCAGAAGATAATTCAAGTTGTAGCCAAAGACAAAATGGACTTTGGGAAGAATGCAGATGTTGTTTATGAAATTATAGGGGGGAACGGATTGCCTTATTTCTCAGTTAACACCACTACAGGAGATATATTCCCCAAAGTGCTCCTTTCAGAGCATGTCAATAAAAGATTTGTGCTGATGATCAAAGCCAGAGACAGTGGAGTTCCAACGATGTCATCCAACGCAACAGTGGAGTTTGACATCACTGAGGTTAACAATTATTCTCCTCAGTTCAACAGCAACCGCTTCCAGAAACAGATCAGGGAGGATGTGGCCGAGGGGCACATCATCGATACCATCACTGCCACGGACAGCGACCAGGGTCTGAATGGAGAAATTGGATACTTCATTACTGCCGGAAATGATGCTGGGCTGTTTTCTATTAATGTGACTGATGGTGTGCTAGTTGTAAAAGGCAAGCTTGATTATGAAACTAAAACATCATACAACATAACAGTCACAGCTAGAGACAAGGCCTTGTTCTTCAAAGAGGTTTCCAAAGACTATGAAATCATCCTTCTGGATGTTAATGATAACAAACCTGCATTTGACAAGGATTACTATGATGCATATGTCGAAGAAAATTCCCAGCCAAACACTGCTGTGTTCACAGTCTCAGCCACTGATGCTGACACCTTATACAGCAACACAGAAATCTGCTATTCTCTTGTTGGTGACACAAACTCCAAGACCTTCTTCACAATTAATCAGAAAACTGGTGACATCAGCTCACTGAACACAGTGTTTGACTATGAACAGAGAGCATTGTACACGCTTCTTGTTATGGCTTTCAACCCAGAAAAAGGCAACTGTGAATCTGCACTCTTGAAGTCCGTGACCACTGTCTATGTTCACATTACAGGAGAAAATGAAGACAGACCTCAGTTTGTAAAGAAAACTTACAACTTTCAGGTCAATGAATCTGCACCAATGGGGACTTCTGTAGGTCAAGTCAAGGCTTTGGATAATGATGCTGGAATTGATGGCATAGTGTATTACTATTTAGAAGGTCAAAGCAACCTTCGAGGTTTCTCTATTGAACCTGTCACGGGACTTGTCAAGGTGTCCAAGAGGCCAGACTACGAGTCATCCCCTTATATTGTTCTCACAGTCATCGCAAAAAACTGGGGCAGTGTGAAAGGCAATGACACAGACACGTGTACAGTCAATGTCACCATCCTGGATGCCAATGATCCACCAGAGTTCAGCAAAGCCATTTATCAAGCAAATATCACAGAGAACTCTGCAGGGTAAATGTTTGAATTTTTCTGAATATAGTCTATATATTGTCTCAGTATATAAATATGATCTAAGTATTGTGTATTTGTAAGTTGTTTGTTGCAGATATTGAAAAATTGAAACCAATACAAAGTCAGTTTGGTAAAATTGACAGTTCTTTGTGGAAAAGGAGGGGGGGGGGGGTTCCACAATTTTATAAATCGTCACAAGGAAAGACACCATCTAAAATAGATCTCTGTCTTGCTCACAGTTATTTTCCTATCTGTTGCAGTTATTTAAACTGTTATTGGCACAAAATGGAACAAAACAGTTTAGTAAAAGTCACAAGCCTCAAAAACTGACCTTTTCTTCTATTTACATTAAGCCTGTGGACAAAAATATATTCAAATAATTTAGAGAATAGCAGTGTACTGAAGGCGCCATCTATAAAACAATTTGCACCCTTGTTTGTTGTAGACACTTAAAAACTGTAACAGGTACAAACAAATTAGAGGAAGACAGATCTCAGATACTGACATTTTGTTGTTTACAGGAAAAAATATATCTATAGACTTTAGAGGATAATTGCATGTTGAATTAGCCATGTTTATAGTCCATATTAGGCTGCATTTATATACTCAGACACCATCTTTAAAAAGTCACAATAATATCCCATCTTTTGCAGCCATACTTCAGTCATCACAGTTTATGCTGAAGACAAAGACATCAGACCGGAAAACAGGGGTTTCTCCTATGAAATCATCGGTGGCAACGAGCAAGGAAAGTTCCACATGACTGCAGCAGGCAAGGTAGAAACAACTGGCACAGGCGTCCTCGACAGGGAATCTGTGGCTACATATACACTGGTTGTTGGTGCCAGAGATACCCATGATCCCAAGATACTTGGTAAGTCTGTAGTTTTTTTATTGACTAAGTTTAACAAAGCATTTTTAATAACTAATTTAAAATCTGTTAATGTGAATGCATTTTTCAGAAATAGCGAAATGAGAATTGAAAGTTAAAACTACACATTAAATAAAGTCCTGATCAGTTCCCTGAGCATGAAGTCAAGTAGGCTGCCTTTTTGTGCCAATATATGAAGAAGTTATGGCTATTGAGCCAGAGAAAATCAAGAGAGATAAATACCAGTTCTTCCAAGAATAAATTACTCAAACAGTCTCAAGCAACACAAGTGTGACTGACTCCTCTCCTTGAAACCCAGTCAACATGGGATGTGTTCTCTTACACTTTATATTTGGTTAGAGCATACTAAAAAAAAAAAAAAAGATTCAGCTTCTAAAGTGGCCAATTTAATAATGTCATGATTTTTGTGTGTGTAGAAGTTATTTTCCATATCTTGACCTCTCTTCTGTGAAAAAGTTAAAGATGGATATGGATTATGTGATTTAGCCTCTGGAGGTTTAGAGGCATGTTTTTGGTTACATAAAAGATAATGAACTGTTTAAGATATGTTCTCATGAAAAAAATATATGCCTCATATCATCTTAATTTGTCCACAGGGTCATCTACAGTAGTGGTAGAACTCACAGATGTCAATGATAATGGACCCAAGTTTGACCCCAGCCATCTCCGAGCCAATATCTCTGAGAACGAGACAGCAGGACAAACGGTTGTTATATTAAAGGACTACACCATTGATGCTGATCTCCCTCCAAATCAGGGCCCGTACACGTACCAAATGGTGCCAGGGCCTTGGGCTGATTTCTTCTCAATAAATGAGCTCACTGGTCGAGTGGAGACCAAGCAGATCCTCAACAGAGAAGCTCATTCACAGTTTATTATCTCTGTTGTTGTGGCCGACAATGGGTTGCCAAAAATGACCTCAACTTTGAGTTTTACAGTTGTGGTGAATGATATCAACAACTCCCAACCTAGTCCTCGACCTCTGACAGTTTTTGTGACTCATTTGGAAAATATGAGAGTATTTGGCAGAATTGCAGAAGTACATCCATTAGATCTAGACCTGACTGGCAAATACAGTTGCAGCCTTGTTAATGGTGATCAGACTCCATTCGCCATCAGCAAAGGCTGTGATCTTGAAGTGGTAGATGATCTACCGGACTCCACATACACTCTGATAGTTCAGGGGTCAGACGAGAAGTTCCCATCTGTGACCTACAACGTGACCGTTGTAGTGGAGACCATTACCAACAAAACTTTAGTCAACTCTGTAGCTGTGATTTTGAGCAATGAACGAGCATCAAGCTTCCTGGAGAAGAAGTTTCAGCTTTTCAAACGTCACGTTCAGGAAGCTTTTGGGATATCTTTTCAGTGTAAAATTTTCAGTCTTAAAGAAGTTAACGGAGCCCTTTATGTAATGTTGTATGTCCATGATAAAGAGCAAAGGATTCTGAGTAGCAGAGATATCAACCGAGGCTTAACCGCTGCTAAAGATGCAGTGGAGAATAGTGCTGATGTCAGAATTCAGACAGTTGCTGCAAGCCGTTGCGGTGTCAACCCTTGTTATAATGGCGGAAGTTGTTCAACAATTGTGCTCCTTCTTAATGGCACCTCCATCTTTGAGTCATCTGCAGTGATCATGACCTCACCAATTTCAGATCTGGGAACCTCTTGCTTCTGTAGTCCAGCATACACTGGACAGTACTGCCAGCAGCAGCAGCAGCTGTGTGGTGCTGACTATTGTGCCAATGGAGGAGTGTGTACTGGTACTTCTTGCCAGTGTCCTGATGAGTGGGTAGGGAACTTCTGCCAGACAGATGTCAATGAATGCCAAACCAGTTCCCCATGTAAAAATGGGGCCACGTGTCGCAACACAAAGGGCTCGTTTATCTGTGAATGTGCCACAGGTTACCATGGACCCTACTGTGACTCACAGAACTACTGCACCAACCAGCCGTGTTCACAACATGGAAAGTGTCAGGAATTGCCAGATTCTTTCCAATGCATTTGTGATTATGGTTACCATGGATCCAGTTGCCAGTTTTCCAGCATGTCCTTTGAGAAGGGTTCTTATGCACAATTCCAGCCGGTGAACAACTACCAAGCTCTAAACATGACCTTGTATTTTGCCACAGTTGAAAGCAATGCCTTGTTGATGTTTAGCCCCATCATCATTAAAGATTCAGATAAAGGTTTTATTGCCATGGAGATTGTCAGTTCCAGATTAAAAGTCTCTTTTCTGATGGAATCTCGAAAAAGTGGACAAATGACCAGAGTTATCACAGTAAGCCCTATGATGTCAGTAACTAATGGATACTGGTATAGAGCAGACTTTGTGAAATCATCTACGGTAAGTGTTAAATAGCGTATATTATATTGTGTATGTCTGTGGGTTGTTTTTTTTTTTTTGAGGGAGGATAGATTTTTTTTAATCGCGACTTTTGTCTTCAAGGAAAAGAGCAGGAATGCCAGGGATGTGCTTTCTACTGAAGCAAAAATCCCTGCACTGGTAGGACAGTCTCTCAAAGGGTTGTTGGTCACATTCAACAGGATCTCCTTTACAGTGACTTGGTAACAGGGAAAAGATCTTTAGGAAGGCCAGTGCTATTCTACAAGGACATATGCAAACACGGCTTAAAAGATATCAACACTGACACTTGGGAGAGATCAGCTGCAGACTTACTTCTTTGGAGGCAGACAGTGAAAGACGGGCTGTTGCAGTTTGAAAGAAGCCAAACCCTAAAGAGAAAACAGATGTCTGAAAGAAAACTGGCCTCAGAATGATAGAGCATCCAAATTTTTATGTGGACTATGTGGCAGAGATATTTCTGGTAAAAAGTTAAGAACTCTTTTCATAACATTGGTGCATCAGGCATATGGTGATAGGTAAAGTAGATAAAGAAACCTTTTCATCCAGTGGTGAAATGAGCATATAATGTTAGACTCATGTTTTTAAAAACCAATTAGCACTCGATAGGTAATGGGGTCAACATCACACCAGCCACCTTTACTTTTCAGGACATTACCTGGTTCCCATTTTAGGTTAGGCCGACCTGGAATACAATGTCAGTTCTAAAAAAATCCATTCTAATGCAGGTCAAAACACAAGACATCTGGGCTTGTGGACAAGTATCTGGTTTCTGTTGTCTCACATTACAATCTGACATTGGTTGTGCCACCCTGGGAGCTGTAGGTCTTTTTATATAATATATGCCCCAATGTGGAGTTAAACCCAAGACTTTTGGGTAGAGGCACCCGCAAAGGCCTTACACCCGCTCTGGGTGAAGCCCTGATCAGGAGGAGCAAGTATCTAAGCACAACATTCTGGTGGCTCCCTAAACATTTCTGTTATCTCTTCTTCTTCTTAGCATTCACAGACTGTAAACTCTGGCAGAAAAGTCTGGTTGTTTGTCCACTCCTGGATTTTGGTCTTGATCCAGAACTTGAATTTTGCCAGCCCATCCATGTGACAGATCTGGCTTATTTCTGTGGAGACTGTTGGTTATTTGCCTCTCAGGCAGATGCACTCCGACCTCCTAATTAGCCACCTCCAATGACATGCATATCAGGGTTGCAATGCGTCTATTCTTTAATCTCCAAAATGGAGCCCTGGAAACATCACCGGGAATTTCAGGTACCTGCATGTAAATTTCAGTCCCACTTTTTTCTATATGCTGTGTTATTCATATAGCCAAGGATTGTATACAAATAAAAGCTTCCAAATCACTAAAAAAAATGAATGCAAGTCAAAAGAAACTAAATCTATTGCCAAACTTAGAATAAATTTGTACTAATGTATAGATCGGAAACATGGAAAGCAAACAAAATAGTTCCTAATAAAAAACAAACATACATTAACTGGTGTTGTGCAGAATAGGTAAAGTGCAACGTTGTGGTAGATTTACTGATGCAACACCTGATGCAATTGAGTGCAAAGGCATTAAACAGGCATCTGAGTTTAAATATCTGGGAACTACATTTACCAAAGATGGGAAATTGGATAAAGAAATTAACATTAGATGCAGTAAAGCAAACCAAGTATTGGGACAGCTAGCCCCCCTCTTACAGCATTAGACAATCCCAATCAGCACAAAGAGACATCTTATTCAAAGCATATTTATTCCAACTCTGTGCTACCAGTGCCAGACATGGTCACTCACAACAAACCATAAAAGAAAATTAGTAACCATGGAGATGAGATGTCTGAGAAGGGCTGTAGGAGTGATCATAAGAGAAAAAGTCGGCACAGAACCAATTCTAAATTACATACGAAGACAGCAGGTGAAATGGTTTGCCCACTTAGAGAAAATGCCTTGTGATACCATACCATACAAAGCATACATGGAAAGAGAAGAAGGACGTAGAGCACGAGGTAGACCAAGAACAAAATGGAAGGATAACATCAGAGAAACTCTACAACAGCACGATGTGCCTATGGTCAAGGCGGCCAGAAGAGCTAGAGACAGAACCTTATATCTCCCTCGACACCCACAGCGGTAAAAGAGGAAGTGAAGAAGAAGAAGAGAAGAAGAAGAAGACACCTTTGTAAGGAGCTAAACAAATTTCTTATCATTTTGAGAATCCAGCCAACCTTCATTATTATTGCACAACACCAGTTAATGAATGTGTTTTTTTTTTTTTAATTAGGAATTTTTATGTTAGCTTTCCATGTTATTTATTTATTTATGTCATGAATATGGCACTGACCTGGTGTCACAATTAATGCAACTTCTGTCAAACACACTGTGTTTAATCAAAACTGTTTGTTTTAAGATTAAATGTTTGAGTGGTGTTAATAAAGTTAGGGTGCCAGTTGTGTGGTTTTCACAAATATTTGGCTGCTTTATTTAATTCACCAAATTTCCTGAATCACTTTGGTTCTCATTCTTGAAGCGGGGTATCTGAATTTGCTGTCTGTAAAATGAGAATTAGAGTTGGTTACACCAGTACATTTCACTGTCTATCAGCAATTTTCTCAGCAAAAATTCATATACAAGTTTGCCAAGTTGTGGTCTTCTATGAAATGTCATTGTGTAAACTCTCTTTTTTTCCAGATTGCCACTCTTGTGGTTCAGAAGTGTTCAGAATCCATCTGTGAGCCCTGCTCTGATTATCGATCTGACTGTTACAATGAGTCTAAATTTGTTTCAGAGTAAGTATAATTTTACTTAAAGTGACTGCTTATACAAGCTAAATGTGAAAGCAAATAATTATTTCTTCCTTATGAAACTATTGCACAAAAAATAATAATTTTTTTCATTACAAAATATTTTCATCATCATGAAGTACATTACCGAGTGGCATAGTCATTTATTTCTCTGTAGATTCGCATGTTTTTAATGAATTATGCTTAGCTAATATGAACAAAAACCAATTTTCCAGGTAACAACAGGTAGAATTTGCAGGGGAAACAAAGAGAATGACAGGGGGATAGTCTGGTGTGACATTTAGTTTTTGTTTTTTTAAATATTGAAGTGCTTCACCAAAATAGAATATTTTATTACAATCAAATATCCCTTTATGATACTGAGATTTACTGGGGGGGGGGGGGGGGGGGGGGGGGTGGGGGGGGGGGGGGGGGGGGGGGGGGATGAAAAGTATCAGAATAATTTATTTTGAATTTTCTTTTCAGAAACCCGCCTGTACAAGGCCAGTATGTCAGCATCGGAGGAATCAGAAATTTTGCAGACATTCTGTACCACAATGGACACATTTCAACGCATGATTTCCGGGGATGTTTGCACAGTGTGACCATTAATGGCAGGTCATTTGTGGTCAATCGTCTTGACCCTGGGTCTAATGCACCCGAAGACATGTACAATGTCACTGAGACATGTCCAAGGACAAAGCCGACAAACTTATGCAGTGAAGATGAGCATGTATGTTACAACAATGGTGTCTGTGTGGACAGCTGGTCACACATTTCCTGTAGATGCCCCAGTGAATATATGGATGATGTCTGCCTGATCAGTAAGTCCTCTTGAAGCAAATATTAAGGAATATATTTTACAGAATACAGCGTACCAACCTTGTATTTAAATTTCTAATGAAGAAAAAAAAGATGTCACAGATTTTGAATATCTAGGCACAACAATAATAATAATAAGTTGCATGGCATGGAGGTGTGTCGGCACACGAACTAATACATGCTGCAGGAGATCGTGGATTATGGAGAGGCATGATCGCCCACGCCAGTCGGCAAAGCACCGGATGATGATGATGAGGCACAACAGACAGTGAACAACAATGGTGACTGCTGACTGCACAGAAGAAGACATGCTTTGTTTAGCAATGTAGAGATTCAACAACATGAACAACTTCTGGCCCAGCAACCTACAAAGTTTAAGTAAAAACTTTGAGATCATGTATCATTCCCGTGACAACTTAACGGATGTGTCACTGATCTTACTCAGTCACTGACAAAAAAAAATCATTGCTTTGGAACTGAAATGTTACAGAAAAATTCTTAGAATACCTTGGACCAAGAAAAACATCAACTTCCTGCAGGATCTGAGCATTGAGGAGAACTGCTTCACAGACAGCATCCTGTCCCAAAACCTGAGCTATTTTGGCCATGTTAAACTTCATAGTGGCCTGGAAAAAAACTGGTGATGAAGGGTACCTTTTCCGGAAAAAAACAACCCGAGGTCAAACTTTACGAAGGTGGATACAAGATGCATTGACTGTGAAAGCACATAGGGTTGGGAAAATGGCTAGAGACAGACTTTCATACATGCTGTGAGGAGAGTGATATTCTATTTAAAAAAAAAAAAACTCATGATCGGTGATGATGAAATTACAAGTAATTTTATAAAATCCTGGCATGTTTTCCACCAAATGATGGGGAAATATGACTTATTAGTTTCATTAGTTTCAGGAAACTGAGCCACAGACCTGTCTCCATGGGTCATCGTTGTCAGGTTTTTTTTTACACCCTATCAGATCTCATTCTGGAATCCCATTTTCTCCTCATGTGGCTATCAAATCTTATTTTGGAATCCTGTTTTCTCCTCATGTGGCTATCCAATATCATTCTCGAATCCCGATTGCTGCTCATATAACTGTCAGATCTCATTCTGGAATCCCATTTTCTCCTCAAATGGCTATCAGATCTCATTTTGGAATCCCGTTTTCTCCTCATATGGCTATCAGATATCATTTTTGGAATCCCGTTTTCTCCTCATGTGGTTATCAGATAATTGACCTCTCTGTTACTCTTGTTGTATTATTACCTGTTTACAAAGAAATTTACAGGGGTCTTCAAAGTTAAGTGATTAAACCATTTGCCCCGTGCTTTGATGGTCATGGGTTCATTTCACAGAATGCATAATTCGGTTCACAAGTGCAGCTTTTACAGAGATCCATGATCATCACTAGAACTACAGAATGTGTGCTTTGTGCGAAATTCGCAGCAGACAGCTATCCATTCTGGGAAGGGGGGGGGGAAGGGAGGGGCCTAGTCATGTGAGATAAAACTCATTGCTATGAAGTCAGTGCTCTAAATGTTAAACCTGTTTTGTGTGCATAACTTCATTAATATTTGTTTCTATGACTTATGGTGCATTAATTACAGTGTAGTAATTTTAAAAACAATATCCTATTCAACCCATCTGAGTTATAATTGGGTTGTATAAGTTTTATTTTTATATCAGTACTGAAAATGTATGCATGTCAGTTACTTTTGGTTACTTAATATTCCATAGATTATGTATTAATTTTAACAGGCTGTAGGAGAATAGATTGTTAAGCTTAATATATTTTAAGTGTGCTTTTAAAATAATTGTGATAATCACATCATGTAGTTTATCTGTGGGAATGTTTAGTTAATTCACCTGTTCTGGCAAATATCACCAGAACATTTTTTTGTTTCTACAGAAAACCAACCTTTCACCTTAGGAAGCAATGCTGTGGTCAGGTACAGTCTCCGTCCCAGTTATGTCAGAGACGTGAAACTGGCCAGTTTGGTTTCTGAAATATCTAGAAGACGAAGAGCTACCGGTGACTCCACAGTGATGCTAAGGTTTAGAACAAAGTCTGATCAGGGAGTGTTGTTTAGGACACATACGGACATGATCAGTTGTGTGTTGTGGGTAAGTCTTCAGCAGCCTGTAATATCTATGTATTTTCATTATCATCATCAATTTCCACTTCTGCCGTTGAGCATTGTGGGGAGGAATAGTTTGCGATCCATTGCTTGATGGGCAACAATAGCTACTGTCATTCCATGTCGATGTAGAAGCTCTTTAATGTCATTAATCCACGTTCTCCTAGGGCGGCCTCTTGCTTTCACTTCAGATCTTTTTGTGTGCAGCGCCTGTGCTGGTAGCTGTTCTGGCTGTATTCTTACTAAATGACCAAACCATTTGATCTTCTGTTTCCCAACGTGACTGTGGTTCAAAAGAATATTTTGCGCCCGCCATCTTTACCGACCGTTAGTTGGAGGATAGCCGAAAAATTAGATATAAACATTCAAGATTTTTCGGAAATGTTGGGAAAAGGAATAAACTTGAAAACTTAACAAAAACTGGTAAACTTAATGTGAAAGAGCAAGGTAAAGAGGACAAGATAATATCTTTATGGCTTGACCAAATAGAAGAGTCAAGTCAAAAACACAGACCTCAATAATTTTTCTATGCAAACCATGACTGTCTATGCAAAACCACATGGCACATGATGTTTTATCTATATTTTACATAATTTTAAACAATCATGTGGTAAATTTATATGCACAAACTGTACATCACTAGTTATTAAGTCTTACAGTACCAGTTTGTAATTACTCTAACTCCTTATACCCTGAGAGGTTTTAGTTTAAAGTAGCCATTTTTTGTGTGAAAAGAATTTAAACTAATAACACCCTAGGCTGAAGGAGTAAAACTAACAACTGGCTGGCACTTGACACTCAGGGCAAAGGTGAGAGGGATATACAATCAGACAGTTACTGGTGCCATCGGAATTGGAACTCTTCGCTTGCTGCTGAAGATGGGAGCCGAGCGCTTATGGGGGTGTCTTGATTGCTGTGATGTTGATTCTTAATTTAACATTCAACTAACAAAACAGATAATTAATGTAACAACCGACTGGGACTGCAGATAGTCAGAAAGGTACCATGTCTATTGACTGACTAATAAATAAATGATGAAATGTTAGTTAGTTAGTTAGTTAGTTGGGTTATCATCATTGCACTCCGGACATGTCCATAGGTGCTCAGATCCTCCCCTCAGTATGAATCCCAACGTCCGATGGCTAATAGTACCAGTTCTATGTTGATTAACAAATCTTCTGACGTGTCCGGTGTGTGTCTCGTTTGCTGTGCCGATCTTAATTCCCAAGTCTGCCATTCTGGCGAGTGATGTGGATTCACTGCCACCAAAGTCCTCTATCCTTCCCATTTCTCTGAGGGCATTGATAATATCAGCATGATCCATAGGCCGACCGTCGGTAGTGATAGCGGATCCAGCCAGCCTGTCAGCTCTTTCATTTCCATCGACGCCTGCGTGTCCCGGAACAAAAATAAAGGTGACTCCTCGCACAGTGGACTTCTGAATTGATTCAAGCCATTGTCTTCGCACTGAACCTGCCTGAACCCTCCGGATCATACTCATTGAATCACTGAGTTTACATATGCGGGTGTATTTTTGTGTTTCAAGCCAGGCAAACGCTTGCGTCACTGCCATCACCTCCATGATGAAATGTATAGTACTCAAAGAGCTAAAGAAAGACAAAACAAACAAGGACAAATCATACATGTAACATAGCAGGATGTTGACACTAAGGATGATGAATTAGCTCAACTGTGACTTTTTTTTTGTCAGTAATAGGTGAGATCACAGGTAAGGACAGTACATGTGAAGTTACAAATCAGTCTGCTTAGGGAAAATTAAATTCTCTGTTTGTGGCACTTCACATCTTTTGAGAGAGATCATCCACATATGAGTGTATTGTGACATTAGTTAACAGTAGAAGTAATAGTAAATTAATCTGTGATGTCCTTTTTAATCCTTCTAAGTTGTATAAGGGATATATTGTTTGTATCTTTTTCCATATTGGGTATTTATGTCCATTAATTAATTTTGACAGTTTAAAACTGCATAATTAAGTTGTTACCTAGTCTATGCCACAGTGTATGAAGTGGGGTGGCTAGTTCTTTTCTGAATGTGATGCTTAAATCAAATCAGTCAGTTATGTGATAAGAATGCCCTCTTCTTATGTTTCCTCTTTTTCTTGTTCCTTGTTTCCTCTTTTTCTTGTTCTTCTTCTTCGTAAACTTTCAGATATCAACCTGAATATATTTGGGGGGGAAAAAAAAAAACTAGTCAGCTTGCTGACATCTCATCATTAGGTGATTTGCACTGTATTATTTTATTAAGCCCAAAACTCAGTACATTCTTCTTCTTCATCTTTTTCTTTTTTTTTTTTTTTTCTTTTTTTTTTTCTTTTTCTTCTTCTTCTTCTTCTCCTCCTCCTCCTCATTCTTCTTCTTCTTCTCCTTCTCCTCCTCCTCCTCTTCTTCTTCTTCTTCTTTTTTTTCTTCTTCTTCCCTCTTCTTCTTCTTCTTATTTCCTCTTCTTCTTCTCCTCCTCTTCTTCTTCTTCTTCTTTTTTTCCTCTTCTTCTTCTTCTCTTCTTCTTCTTCTTCTTCTTCTTCTTCTTCTGAATGCATTTTCAGATGTCAGAATGTATTTAAAGAAAAAGAAAACAGCAGTCAGTTTGAATGTGCTGATAGTTCATTATGAAATCTTCTTTTGGCACTCACCAGCTCTAAACTCAGGCAGAAAGTTCTGGTTATTCATCCACTTTTGGTCTTTAGTCTTGTTCCAGAACCTGAGTTTTGCATGCACATCAAATCTTACAGATCTGGCTTACTGGCATGCAGACTTCCTCACTTCTCAGACAGATGCACTCCAACACCAAAGGAAGCTGTCATCATTAAGTGATTTGCATTTTACTATTCTGTCATTCCTGTAACACAGTACATCTGATTTCAATGAGTATTTTAATGCGTTTGCTTTCCCTGTGATAAGGATTTGATGATGTTGATTTGCTTTAAGTATATAAATAGACCAGTTGTGTCTTAGCTTTATGTGTGAATTCTGTTGTATGCCCCTGATTTAACTTACACATTTATCTTATTTTTCTTCAAAACTAGTTTGCTGATAAGCGAGTTTATTTCTTACTGGCATCTGATGATGCTGAGAGGGAACCTTTATTGGTGGACGCTACAGAAATTGATGATGGTGGTTGGCACAACGTGTCTGTGACTGTTTCTGGAACTGTGTTCAAGCTGGACTATGATGGCCAGAATTCCACCTCCAGAAACTTTGCCCTGACGTTTGACTTTGACTCCCTGGATACTGTGGAGATGACCATTAGTGGAAAGGCGTCTCTGCCCAACAATCAAAATGTGGAAGGTAAGTGAGAAGATAAGGAGCATCTGGTTGAGCAGTTATCATCCTGGGCTCTCATTCAGGGGATCCTTTTTCTGAATCCTTGGTCAGATGGGGATTGTTTCCCCTCTGTCAAGATCAAAAGTAAATTCCTAACCTGCAGTTTGTGGTGACTGTACTAGCCATGCAGTGCAGAAAACTATGGCCACAAATTACCCAACCACCCTTACTGGGGTAATAGAAGAGAAGTAAAACATTTTTTTAAGAAGTTGAAAAGAAACCCCTAAGCATTGGTGACAAATGAGTGTCAACTGATAGTGTTGTGTGCCAACTGATAGTGTTGTGTGCCTTGACTGACTGGCTCTCAGTTCCCTTCTCTAGCTGTATCTGAGGCATTGACATCACAGGAAGCTGGATGTCAGTCCAACAGGACAAATCCCAGATACTTTCCTTGTTCAGCCTACTTAAGTGGTTATAATAAGGGCACCAAATACTATCCTAGTGGCCTTGGTAAGTATGGTTGTCTGTATGTTCTGAAGCTAGCCTTCTAGTAATTTTCCTCATTATGTATCATTCTAGTGATTTCTTGTCAGTATAAACTTTCAAGAGGCAGGCCAAGAAAGACCTGAGTACAGAATTTGACCACACAGACGGGCCTGAAGCATACAAACATCAAGACCATGGCAAATGTTGAGGGAACTGATCAGTCAGTCAGCTGCAACTAGGGACCCAGTAACATGCAGTGTTCTGGGACAATGATGAGCTTTCACTCCTTTTGTTGCCCCCAAAGCAATTGTTTAGATTACTAATATATCTGTCAAAGATGTTGTCACCGTATGGAGAATAAGTTTCCAACCAATTTGTGCCAAACTCTCCTATTCCTTGCAGCTCCTTCCACATCCTCCTTAAATTATTCATCTCTATCACCACTTCTTTTTTATGTTTATAGGTCTCCCTCTATTTCTTTAGTCCTGTGCGCTCCAAGGAAAGTACTTTCTAGTTATATTATTGACATATTTCTAGTATATATTATTGGTATTATTCTTACTGTCTGTCTCATCCCGTCCTTGTCTCTTTCCTATATTTTGACTTGCTGAAAATTTAATTAGTTCTCTCCTTAAGCACTACACTGGTGATTCTCTTCTACTTTTAGGCTGCATTTACATATCAGAAAACTTCCTGGTACCGCATTGGAGCTAACAATTTTAGCAAGAATTGTACCTTCTTCTGCATTCACCTTTAAGAGGAATGTTGGCCCATTCTGTTGTGGTTTACAGCTAGGCTGTGATTGCACCTATCAGCCAAACACAACCAATCTCAACAAACCCTTAATTTGTTAGCTTGTACTGCATGCTTGCTAGGGGGCAGTTGGTCAGTTTTCTGCCCTCCAGTATGGGGCAGTTGGTCAGTTTTCTGCCCTCCAGTATAGGGCCTCGGAACCCACATGGGGATTGTAGTAAGAATAATAAATTTAGTTGGCAGTACATCTTCGCCAGTTGTCTTCTTCTTCTTCTTCTTCTTCACTTTCTTTCTTTTTTTTTTCTATCTGCTTCAGATGTTGAGGTAGATATAGAGTTCTTCTTCTTGCTCTTCTGGTTTCCTTGACAAAAGACACATCATGCTATTGTAGGGTTTCTCACGATGCAATCTTTCAATCTTGTTGTGGTCTGCCTAGTGCTGTGTTCTTCTCCTCTTTCCACAAGC